CAGGAGGGGCTCCGTACGAACGAACACCGGAGCCATACGCCGAGTACGCTGAGTACGCCGGGTACGCACCATACGCGTACGTCTGGGAGTGCGTCGAAGGCGGCTCCGGACGTGGCAACAGAGCCTCGACCCGTCGGATCATGCGGAAGGCCTCGTCCAGATCGGACGAAGAGGCCCGGCGATCGGGTCCGACACAGGGCCCTGAGGTTGACCGCCTCCGTCAACGTGTCCTTGTGCTTGAGATTGCACTTGGCCTTGGGACTGGCGGTGATGCTGCCGCCCAGGCCGGGAATCAGGGCGAGCTCGCTCGTCTTGCGGGCCGCCTTGACCTGTTGGAGCGTGAGGTCGCGAGCCTGTATCTGCGGGTGCGCAGCCGGAGCACTCGGACGAGAGTGGCGTTCGGGAGGCGCCGAATACTCGTACTCGTATGAGGGCACCTCCGCCCCTGCTTGACCGGAATGGAGAAGTTTACTTCCACGTGGAGCGGATCCTCCAGGAGCAACGGCGTCGCGGTAAGCGACAGCTCCTCGAGAAGTGGAGGGGTTATGCCTACTCCAAGAACTCGTGGGAGCCGATTGAACGACTCCTGATTGACCGGCCGAAGGCCGTCGCAATCTGTAAACAGAAGCGGCGGGCAGCTTTCATAAGTAGTCCGGGGCTTCTTGCCCCGAACCGCGTGCGGACGTGAAGACACTCCGTACCCGCGCTCATCGTGAGCGCCTAGAAGCCGCGCGCGCTTCAGATGTCCCTTGGGAGCAATGCGCCTGCTGACCCTGTGGGCAAACCGAACACGAAGATCACGCTGGTCCAGGATGCGGGACAACAGCTGATCTTCATGGAGGTCCCGTAACTCCGTGGGTGAATACTTGAGAGACTCAGCACAAGCCCAGAACATGTCCTCACAAGGGCGCCAGGTGGGACAGTTCTCGGGCAGAACCCAGGGGTAGCCCCAAAGAGGGAAGAGGCCACCCCGGTTCTCGGGCTTCTTGCGACACGTAGTGAAGTCCTTGTGAGGGATGCGGTGTGGCGCGAGAAGCACACATCGAGCAGCCTCCAAGTTGTCAACAACATTTCTTTCTGAACAAGAGTACGCTCGTAGATACCCCTAGAGGTGTGGCCACCAACAAGGCCACGAGGAGCAACGAGAAGCTCCAGGAAGAGATCTGCCCTAGAGCTCTCCTCGGGAGGCCAATACCCTCGCGAGTTGATGGTAGCTCCCTGGCTGACGGGTGCCACCACCGAACCCCCACGCACACGCTGGGCAGCTTGGAAGTCCTCCTGCTGCTGGTCGAGGTCATTCGTGATCTCCCGGGGCTCAGAGATAGCACCCTCTTCCTCTTCCTCCTCCTTTTCTTCCTCTTCATCCGAGGAGTCGAAGAGGCCCCGATGGGAGTACCGAGTCTTCTTCTCCTTGCGGAGTGGAGACTTAGAAGCTGCACGCTTCTTAGGGGCTTGGCTCCATCGGCTTTAGAAACCTTGGCACGCGCAAGACCCTCGGCAAGCGAGAGACGTTTGCGAGATTTCTCTTCCTCATCGCCACCGGCTTTGGGAGTGCCCTTAGCCTTGACGGCCGGACTCGCAGAGCGCACAAACGTCCTGGTACTGTGATCACCTTGATCACTAGCGAGCGACTGCACGCTGTCGTCCTTGTGCTAGCAGGGCACTGGGCTGTGCCCTCCCGCAGAACCCGCAGGAGCATCGTGCGTGCTCTCGGACTCGGCTTCGTCCTCACTGCCAGAGTCGAACTCACGTTCAGCAAACCGAGGGCTCGGACGGTTGTCTGGAGAGGTCGAGGGCGACGGGCTGCGACGCTGGCTTGCTAGCTAGCCCACAGCCGCGTCACCGGAGGAACCGAACGCTTCGGAGGCCACCTGAGTAGCCTCCTGAAGTGCAGAGCCTTTGCCGTGAGGCTTAGTACTCTTGGCTTGTGCCTTTCCGGCATCAGCCTTGGAGCGTGTCTTCGCATCGCCCTTTGCAGTACCACGAGGCATGACAAACGATCGAAGTGGAGACCAAGAAGAAGAGCGCACAGACTGCTGCTCGAGGCTCTAACTGTGAAGTGAGCCTCCGCCGCGCTCGCGCGGCCAAGTCGATGGTTTTCGACTTTGAGAATGAAAGTTTGTGACCAACACTTCTTCATTCTGATTGGTCGGTAAACTGAACCTAAGTGGGGGAGGATGTAACGGGGTACGTAGCCCTAAGTTTACCCCTGGTTACATGAAGTGTGACACGTCATACGCCGGGATATTTGGCACAAGGTACCAAGGTCGTCCAAAGCCAACCATTGGCTGGTGACATTGCATTTCTACAGGTGACCTATAGTTTGTATTAAACCCAAGCTTTATCGACCTATAAATATACTCAGTTTACATTCTACCTTAAGTCCTACCGGTAGGACGCCCATAAATCCTACGGGTAGGACAGGTTGAAGAGGGGTGGTTTACAATGATACTTCCTAGAAGTATGTTTTAAGCTTATCTATACTAGCTGTCTTGTGATGCTGCTAGGTGCTGGTGGTAAACGTTCTACCTGTCATCGCTCCACAGAGCGCATAATAGCTATCCGTATTGCAGTCTGAGCATGTGGTACAATAGAACGACACCTTCTTCTTGCATATCTTGCAGCGTCGTTGTGCTCGTTGAGGTGTCTTCTTCAGCCGTTGGTATTGAGGGCGATATCCTAAGACAAGCAGCGTGTGAGCAGGAACGCTGGTGTCATTCATATCACCATCAGCATTACCATCTCTCCTTACTCGGTCTGTCAGATAGTCATTGAAAATTAACTGGTACGCCAATCGGGAAGCAAATCGCCAAACGCAACAGTAGAACAGGCCACGATATTATTGCTCTTCGTCTCGTGCTGATAAGCAAGATAGGCGTCCACTATAACCATTCCGAGAATTGTGGCAAATATTCTGTGCGCCCACGAATGGGTCAGCCATTGACGCTCCATCTCTAGTGACCCTTGTCTATAATGGTCGTGCACGTCAATAGTTGAAAAATGCCGGAAGAAAAGCTCCACCATGTATGGCCGAGGTATTCTTTTTTCGTAGCGCTCTGTGCAAATTTCGCCACCATCAACAACACGCCGATGTCGAACACGCACACTATCAGAACCCGGAAGTGTGGTTTCTTTGTTAGATATTATCGGTTTGGGCTTTCGATCATTCCAGCAAAGTGCGTACATTCTCGATCCATTTGAGCAGCTGCTCTCCATTACTATGTGACTGCCACGAGGCCGAGAAACACTAGACCAACGTTTTAGATAGGCCATAGGATATTCTTTAGTCGCAGTCTTGACCATACCCATGAAATATAGTCCCATCATTAAATTGAGTTGAACAAGTGTCTTCACAGATGCGGAGGCACTATCGGCGACGACGGTGCGACCGCTGCCGGCGTAAGGTTGTGCAAGTCGCAGCACAACAGCAGTACCTTCTCCAAATTCGGCATTGTATGTTTTTTACGTTGCCGCTGCGCACCTTCCATTATATCTAGAGCTAGCAAAATTCCAGTGTTTCCATCACCGATAGATTTCAGCTCCGCACCAGCACCCTCGGGTTTTCGCTGGATCTTGGTAAGATGGGGGATTCCGTCATGTGTATACTTCTCTTCTCTTCCTTGCCAGGAGCTCATGCACTCATCCACGCATAACACCGCTCCAGGAGAAATAACCCTTTTTCATTGCTCGTTAAAATAATTAATTAGAAGTCTAACGGCCTGCCACGGGTCATCAACTGGTGCCCGGCTTGGCGCAAACTGAAGAGCGCTTTGAATGTTCTTTAAAGTACGGCACGTCATTCCATAGAGCTGACCAAAATTTGCAGCAGTTCCCACGCTTCCTTCGGGCACGGACGAGTTTCAATATACCGTTAGGGGCCCGTGTCTGGGCTCAAGAGTCATAGCCAACCTGATGCTAATCCAGCGAAAGAATTTACCTCGACCGATAACTCCTTGGCGTCTCTTCAGCAGCAGCGTATTCGTTTCTTATATCGTAGTCTGCAACGACCCCATAGGGTACATGAGATAGAAGTAAGATGCAAACGAACGTTCCCCCAGCAGCAAATGCGATGGCCAGTGAATTGATGCCTTACGCGCAGGGACAAAATCCGCGGGGTCAATGTAAACAGCATCACAATGTATCCATCTTCTCCCGTGGGCATATACACTTCCGTCGTCTTCATTCTCGGCTCTCGGCAATCCACTATCACCACCATCGACAGTAATGGTGCTACTAGCAGCACTCTCTCTCTCTCTCTTCATCTGATGAGCTGTTACTAATGCTCATGTCTGAGCTAGAGTCTGCAGCGTCAACACCTGTGTCTCCTTCCTCATCACCAACTTCTCGGGCGAGATCAGATGGTGTCCAAGCAGCTACTCCCACTTCGCGACGTATTGAGCGCGTTGAGACGGTCTCTACAATCCCTGAGTCCCACTGAACCTTGTACGAGCGCATACGAGCGCATACGAGTCTCCTTGTTTACCATAAGTACGACCCCACGCCGCTCAGCGAGCTTCTTAGACTTGCCCTCAACGCGATCTCCTGGAGTAAGTGGCGGCTGCATTACGTGTCCGTTTGCTTTGCTTCAAATGGCGGAAACAAAGCTACCCTTCGGCTATCAAAAGAACCAATCACAGGGCTCCAATGAATATCCAATTAATGACGTACGAGCTGAAAACTCTGACCCACCGGTAGGACAATCGTCCTACCCGTAGGACGATTTGAGAGCTAAGGAACCTTAAATAGGTCACTTCGCTCTCTTTTGATAAAGAGGGGGCCTGTGAACTGCCGTTCACTAAGAGTTTGTATACTCTCGAAAGCTAACTTCCTCTAGCGCAAGGTGCTGTTTGACCCCGTAACATTCTTTGTGTAATCCAGTACATGATCGGCATAAGTAACTGTGCTGAAGCTGCGACGTGTGAGCGTTCCGTCACGATTGGTGTGGGTCACACAATCCACTCGTTTTGCCGCCCACAAGGCAACGCTATCGGCACCAGAGCATGAGCTACAACAACCGGCGAGGAGGCTTCGGTGGACGCAGCCGGGGGCGCGGCAACCGCGGCGGACGCGGAGGATACGGAGGTGGTCGCGGCGGCTTCGGTAGCGGCTCATCCGTGGGCAACGAGGTGTGTCGACGCTTTATGGACGGTGGCAAATGCGAATTCGAGCAGACTTCGGGCGGCCGACCGTGTCGCTACCCTCACTTCGTCAAGACCATCGGCGAGACACGTGGCCACAATGGATCGATTAAGGACGTAGTAATGTGGGCTGAGCGCCAGCAGCTTTTCACGTGTGCAGCGGACGCCAGCATCAAGCTGTGGGACTGCGCCACCTGGCAGGAGATCACCACCATCAGTGTGCAAGACGCGCTGCCACCCGCTGCCTCAAGTGGTGGCAACTGCGGAAGCCGAGGAGGCAACAGAGACAAAACACTACACACTGAGGGCGTCGTGGCGCTCGTGCTGTGCGGTCCCTTCCTGTTCGCTGGCTTTGAAGGCCGCTTCCCGCCCAACCCCAAGGTGTCAGTTGGTATGGTACGAGGGTGGAACCTTGAGAACCCACAGGCTGCTCCTTTTGAGTTCCCAGCGTCCGATCTGATGCCCTTTGCACACACAATGAATGTCCAAGCGCTAGCTGTAGCGACTGACCCAACGGGCAACGCCACGCTCTTCAGTGGTAGCGCCGACGGGTCCATCCGATACTGGCAGATGGACACAGCCACCAACCAATTTAAGTGTCGCGGTATCATGGAGGGGCATGTGCGTGGAGTGACGCGCCTCAAGACGTTCGCAGTAGGCGGTGCGCCTATCCTGGCCTCGGCTAGTGTGGACTCGACGATTCGACTCTGGGATTTGGCTACATACCAGTGCGTCAAGGTGCTTTCGACTGAGGAAAATGGCCACACCGATGCCGTCATGGACCTCGAATTCTGGGTGAACGGTAACGAGACGTTCCTCATCAGTGGCGGACTGGACTGCGAGATCATCGTGTGGAGTCTCACACCTCCATTCCAGCAGCTGTTCAAGGAGACGCAGGACTCGCAGGTCACGGCACTATGCGGCACCCAAGATGTCGCTCAAGCTCCGATTCTTCTTATTGGCATGGCAGTACGCTACTCGTATATTGATGTGGCTGTGAAGAGTTGATATACTCACCGTTTGTTGCTGCTTTTCAGGATGGCACCATCTCAGTCAAGGAGCTGCCATCATTCGCGTACAAGACGACATTAGGCGCCAATCTCAACCAAGGCCATCAGGATGCTGTACGACGCATCGCCACTGGACCCAGCAACACGTTCTTCTCCACTGGCAATGACCGCAAGATGATTGCTTGGCAGATCACAGGCGACGCCGCCTCTATCCAGTCCAAATAAAACAGTGACGTTTTGGTCATGTAGCCCCAGTGCCGCTATGTTCAACTCAGAATCTACAATGAAGCAGAACCGCGTGTCATCTAGGCTGAGCTCACAGCAGAGACGTGGCCCCCCCCCCCTCCCGACTTTGGAGCAACAGTATGAGCATTTAACACGGTGAACAGCAAAAGCAAAAGTCCACACGCTCAACAGAATAATCTAGGCTCTTTAAAGTTGTAGATGCCCCTAAAAGTGAGGCGTGTATGGCGCAGTAGCTATCGTAGTCTCCTATCAACCTGAGAACTACGCGTGACGAACACCTTATACGTTGCTGGTACCGTTCTGAACTCGCGTCTTGTCACCGTCATCAGGCATGGCCAGTACAACCTGTTCCGCCACCAAACTCCCAGTGCGTGTGATTGTAGGCTGGCCAGACAGAACAGCAACACCATCAGCCACAATGTCCAGTTCCTTGCGCACACGTTGGAGCCAAGTAGCCGCCTTTTGATACGAATGATTGAGCGAATAGGCCTCCTCGAAGCAGGTTGCAGCCAGCTCCAGTTGCTTCTTACTGTAATGACACAGTCCCATGTTGTGACTTGTGACGTGGTGTTTGCCCATTTCCTGGGCAGACAGAGTGTAGTAGGCCAACGCGCTGTCGTATTCGTGCAGTCCGTAGAAGAGACGACCAATCTCAAAGGCAACGTCCTTCTCCTTATCTAGAGCGTAGTAATTCTTCCAGACCATCGGGATACCGTACACCACGTCCTGCTTGAGTTTGGGTGCGGCAGTCGGCGACTGATCCAACAGAACGTCGCGGAACTTGTAAAACACGTCAGGATCCCACCCGCTCAGCTTCATCAGCGCTAGTACAGCCTTCAGGGACGGTGCCTTAGCATCTTCCTTGGTGAATTTCTGCATCACAAAGAAGTCGTTGGGTCCAAACGACACAATCTCGTCTTTAAACGCCGTTTTCAAGTACGGGAACTTCAGACTGCGCTTCTCACACGCTTCGTCCAGTCCGTCGCCGTACAGCCCCGCCATCGTTGAGCTAAGAGCTTCACTCTCTCCGGCTGCGTTTGCTGGCAGCACGAACGCAGAGACCTTGAGACTGGCTTCTTCCTGAGGACTGTGCAACGCAAACCCTCCACGACTGGCGAAATACACGCCAATTGCGTGATAGTTGACCATGACTGAGAAACTGCCGTGTACCGCGATATGCGGGTCGCTGACTCCTCGAAAATGGTCGGGATTGTTGTTGCCTTTGTCACCTGATAGAGCCACGAGCCCGTTCTTCGACAAGGCTGCGAGACGCTCAATGGCAGACAAAGCTCCGATAGGCACCAAGACCGTCGCACCGGAAGACGCAGGATCGAAGTACTCGTGATACCACCTCAAAATGTAGTTGCAGTGCGGTCTGCTCTCTCCATAATACGCTTCATCGATCTGCTCGTACTTGAAAATGTTGTTCAAGCGCTTAATGATCTCTGGGTCGAGAGGATCCGACTCCTCTGCACGCTTGGAACCGACACTGACCAGACCTTCCTTCAATACGCCACCGTCCACTTGGAACAGGTCGTGGTACAGTGTATCGAAGAGGTAATTTGCAATCAAACACAAGGGGTTACTCAGGTCATTGGGTCGAATGACCTGGCCAGACGAGTACAGACGCAGCTCCGTGTCTGTGGTGGCATCGAAGATGGCAAAGTCCACAATTCCGCGCTTGACGAACGGCGCCAGAGCTGGATGGGTCTTCCAGAAGTTGAAGTTCTGTTCCGTGAAGTCGGTCATGACGTAGCGGATGTTGCTTAACGGGAAGTCTAGCACGCTCTGCGGAGAGCAAAAAAGCGGCATTAGCACGCAGAATAAAGTATCCTTCAATTGCACGTGACTCACCTCCATTTGAGCGAGTGCCTTGAGAAAATAGAAGCTGAATTTGCCAGACCCAGCGCCCAGTTCCACAATGTAAAAAGGTTGTGAGGGGTCTACGGGTGACATCGATTCAGGCTTAAGAGCATCTCGGAAATAGGCGCTCAATACGTTACTGTAGCGCTTGGCGATGAAGGTGTTGGATGTGATAAAGTGCGGTACGATGCCCTGCGCCCACGACTCGACACCCTGGCGGTCGTAGAAAGACATCATTAGCTTCCACAGGTGACAGCGTGCGAAGGGCGTGAAGTCCTCGAGCTGGCAGCGCGGCGTCGTCTGCATCTCCAGCTCGCGTACTTCGTCGGCTTTCGGAGCAGACGGAGCGGGCGAAGGCGTCGAGGTGGTCTCCCCGTCGCTGCTGTCGCTGGTTACAGGCGTGGGCGATTTGGTTACGTGTACCCCTGCATCAGCATCGTCGTCAGGGACGGTGTGCATACCTGGTCGCACAGCCTCCGGACTGAGTGAGTGAGCATCTACGGGCAGCGGCATCAAGGATTACAGATAAAAATGGTGGTGCACTGTTGACGGCGGGTTGCGGAGTGCTATAGCATTCCCGACAGGCGCGGCGGTTTCTGTTGAACAACAGGTGACAGATCCTGCGATACAGACTCCGCCAAGAAACTGAAATGCACATACAGCTTATACCCTTGCAAACGCGGATTAAACTACTTTCAGCCTTTTCAGCCAGAACTTACGTGGTACTTATGATTTGCAATAATCCTCAGCCTTTACTTACTTGATATTTTTTGGGAACTTAGAAGGTCCACCCTTTTTAGCTTTCCATATCCCGAAATATCACCTCAGAGTAGATATTTCCATAATTCTGAGGTGATATTTCGGGATATGACCAGCTACAGACTCCCCCCAGAGGAGGAATTTCCATAAATTCTCTGGATATTCATATCCAGAGTTTTAGGGGCGATCGAAAACCGTCGACGATCCTTTATAAAATATTAGGGTGCTACATTTATAGTTATTAAAAGTATAGTGGCTTGCAAGTGATAGGCTAAAAGGACGGAATACCTAATAAAATACGGTAAAGCATAAAAAGCACTGGTGAATGTCGTTCCAAGCCGCCTGGGTCAACATTCACGCTATCTGGTTTTATATGGACTAATGCCGTGCTAAGCCCGGTGAAGCTCTGGATATTACGGTATTTTCAAAAAGTAATAACTAGTTCGGAATGAAGGACTTTTTAGAAAAAAAGGAGAAGAATTGCGATTTAACTAAGACTTCCAGTCTAGAAGAAGACATCAAAAAACCGAGCGAGAATGATAGTCATTCATTTGAGTGGCTATCCCCGAACTTCGAAAACTTGAAAACAAGTTGGTACCCTAACTTAAGAAAGTACTGTATTTTAAAGAAGACCTGTAGCAATTTTTCCACAGCTAAATGGTTTCTTAATCTGTTCGATCCTCAATTGCATGAAGTCTTTGGGTTTCTGCCAGCGCATCACGACTTGGAGTAAAATACTCCAAAAACTCTTTCGTAAGGAGGGCCATGAGATACAACTGCGATAACGTTTTCCCTCGAGTGACGGCGACATATAAAGATGAACGCTGAGGAATCCTGCGAGTCGGATGACGAAGCGGAGCAAGAATCATTTTCTCTACTGTCAGTCCTCCCTTTGAAATACCCGACGTGGTAATTCGTTTTCTTCCTCTGATGTGTGTGATGTGTGTGTGTGTGTGTGTGTGTGTGAGTGTGTGTGTGAGAGGGAGGGGGGCTTACTTACGCGTTACGTCTTAAGGTTGATGTGTATGAGGATACAGTTTAGCCAAAATGAAAAAGCCGCGGTCTAACGTGCGTTGTCGTCCGACCTTGCTGTCTTGACGCGAGACGGCCTCGATAGGAATCCTATTAGTATTCAGCTATTCCCTTCTTTAAATCATGTAGCCTTCATGTACTGTACCACCCACCATCGGTGGTATCGTATATTGGAGCAACATCCGCCTATGGGAGTTCTCTGGTTAACGAGAAGGGGGTTGGCACCTTCGAGGTTCCCCCTTAATCCCATTTTTGCTCAGTGGGAAAGAAAGCGTTTATTTCGGTTAGTCTCCTATCTACTAAGTGACGCCACTTGATTGCGCATTGTGCTAGGTTCTGAGCCCAATACTACGAGACTTTACTGATTACACTCGTGAAGTTCTGTGGATGTACTATGTCGGCATCAAATGGCGTGTCGTTGGTTGCGAGCGGTGCTGGTGTCACGACAACTAGTGGTAGAGTCATGATAATCAGTGATGCTATCAGTGCGTCCTCAAGGGTTGATACGTTAATGAATATCAATATTCCTCAATGTCCCGTACCCGGGAACGGAGGGGTCATTCCAGGAGCTCTGCCTCCCGACGGGATGACTCGAGGCCCGGTAGCTACTTCTCGCCCGGCCGTCCCGGCAGGGTGGTTCCCGTTGAGCCCGACGACCCACGTGCCCCTGACCAAGCCCGTTAGGGTGGTCCTATAAGGTGGTCTCAGAACGCCGGTGTCCTGGCGTCGTGGGAACAAAGCACCTCGCGTCATCAAGCCCCTTCCCAGAGCTCCCCGTTGTCCCACGAGGACTGACGACAAACGAAGTGAGTTCTTCTTTTTAGTATAAGAGAGATAGTGCAGTGTATGTAAGGTCGAGAAGGTGTTAGACCTCTCTTCCAGTTAGCTCACAGTCTTATATTTCCCTCCTTCTCCTCAAGAGGAAGCCAAGCCAGTAACCAAACTTCTATGTCATCTTACAAGTGTTCCTATCTACCGTTCCTGCAGCCACTAAACAAGACCGTACTCCCTGAACAGCCGCGGACTACCCGACCCTTGAGGGAAGAGGAGGTATACGACATCTGGTGGAGAAGCAGGGTAGTCTGCCTGCTGGAGAAGGTCGTGTTTCAAGTGAAGACTCGCGGAGAACGTAAGAAGGAAGGACGAGATGATGTCTTCTAACACCGGAGAAGATGTGAGCGCCACCATCCGAGAAGAAGAAGGTCAGACTGGGAGTCTACCTTCGAGGATGCGACCCAGTCTGTCGACTTCTCAAGGCCTTCAAACCGTGCAGAACATCGTGGGCCAAGCCGCTAACCGACTTGGAGGGAACAGCTCTAGTACTGGTGTCGAGCCACCCGCGGACGCTTTAGGCTCCGGGGTCCCAGCGACCTTCACTACGGAAGAATTGGGCCCGATGCTGACCTTGGACGGCGGAGGCGGCCGAGGTACGGCGCAAGGCTGGCTCAACTCCCTCAACTGGTTGAGGTCCGTGGCTCCTCCTGAAATTGCGGCAGCTATGGAGAGAACCGGGGGGAACGGTCTCGTGGGGACCCCTCCCCCTCCTATGACTCGGGTGAGGGCTACAATCCCGTCGTACCAAGGTTTCACCATCCAAACCCCGACTACGACGTATGGGCAGGATTTCAACCCGTTCTTCACTCTACCGACTGTCCCTGAGGGCAGTGGACGTGCTTCCCCGGCGAATATGCCTGAGAGGACATCTAACGCTCCTCCTTGGGGTCTCCCGCCCTCTGGTGACTTACGAGGTGGCGTGCGGAGCGCTCCTGCAGTAACGGTTCCCGCACCTCAGAGTGCTCCCTCTCAAACCTCAGCTCCTACCGTTCGAATCCCTACGCGAGACACGGGGTCTCGAACTTCGACCACCAGTGGGGTCGCGTACGGGGTCGGCCCTGCGGGAACAACCGGAGCTTCCCAAGGAAACGGGGGAACTTCGGTCCCTGTCGGGGTCCAGCAAGGTCTTGCCTATGAAGGATATGGAAGTAACTCCTACTACGCTTCGCCGACGTATGGTAACACGCCTTCAACAACTAGTGGCCAGTATGGTATACCCACTAACATCCGGAACGCTATCCGTATGCTTCAGCCGTTCTACTCGGAAGGAGCGTCGGTGGAAAAAATTCGATCATTCTGGGACGCATTCGAGAACGCAACTATCGGGTTGGATGAACCTCTACGACTCAGTGCTTTCCGGTAGTGCTTAAAGGGCAAGGTCGGCGAAGATTGGTGGATGTACTCGCGCATCAACAGCTTTGAGCCCTGAGAACTCGGTTCCACAACCAGTTCATCAGTCAAACCCGTTGCAACTTATTAAGAACCTTGAGAACGCTAAGCGACCCTAGAGAATGTCCGCCGGAGTGTGGGGTGACATGATTTCGAGCCTCTGCGATGATGCACAGTGCTACGATCCTCAGATGCGCTACCAGTACTTCTTGTCTGGACTTCGGAACCGAGATTGGAGGAGCGCTCTTACCACGACCATGATCGACTCCATCCCTGCGGCTGTGGTCATGTTGCTCCTCAAGAATATGCATCGTCCCGTCGAAGATGACTCCGAGTTCGATAATGTTCCGTCCCCTAGAGCTTTCCAAGAGAACACTGGCCTCGAACGCATGATGAACATGCTGCAGCAGAAGCAGAATCTACTCGCTCAACAGCAGCACCAGCAACTTCAGCAGCAACAGCAGCTGATGCAGCGTCCCTTGGCGGCCGCCTATGCTACTCCGGCGATGAATGTGGCTGCAGCCTACTCTCCTCCTGATCCGAACACTTCCCTGCATTATCAACCTACCGGAACGCTTCCTATTACGCCTAGCAGGGGTGTTCGTGTGGGACCGGACTTGCGCACTCAAGATGGTCTTCTCGTGTGCGGTCGATGTCACACTCTGGGGTGTAGTCGAATTCACTGTCGTCGCGGCAAAGCCACCTGTCCTCACGGTAAGGAAGTGGGCCACATCGGTCCCGAGTGTGAGCGTGACCCTCCTAGCGGATTCCGGAACACGAGGAACGGTCGCAAGTGCTTCCTGTGTGATGAATCGGGTCACATGCTGGCGGAATGCTCTCTAAAGACGTCGCTGAAAAGACTTGGCGTTCCGGCCGGGGCAACGGCGGGACCTGTCCTAGGACAAGCGCCCAACCAGCAATAATGGGGGCGAGAGGGAGGGGAAGGGAGTGTCGCTCCTTCCTCTTGTCTATGGATCGACACAAATGGGAGCGCTTTGAACGCCATGGGGGGGGGGTCGACCGAGAGGTATGAAGTGTATCCCGTTGGAGGTGGGATGAGTTCCACCTTACTGGAAAGAAATGAAACGACTGTGAGCAACGAACATATGACGAGAACTGAAAAGCTACTGCCGCTGGTGGATGACGGATATACGGCGCCCGTGTGGAACGGGGTGTCGGTGGTCCCAAATGCAGTCGGCGGTTGGAGGATGGAACAAGAAGCGTTTGTGACGGAGGTAGGCTCGGGACCCGTATGAGACGGTCCCTCGATAGCCGCAAACATTGACGAACGCTGGAGTGCGAACCAAGGAGTGGTTACGAGAGATGACCAAAAAAGTGAGAGCGAAGCAGTGAAAAGAGAACTAAACAAGGAAGGGGAAGCGGAAGGGCCGCGACCTCAGGCGTCCTCGGCGGAACGAGACTACATGACGACGCCCACCCACCACAAGAGTGTGGTTTCGAGTGTGCTAGACCCCGATAAGGAAAAGAATGAACCTAGCGACCACCTGC